GGGGCCTAATCCAACATGATGGAGATTTGGGCCTTCGTTTTTTTCCATTAGGTGTAAGGTCTCTATGGTGAGAGATAGAGGTTTAATTTCGTTTTGTTACATGTGGATTTCCAGTTTTCCCAGCACCATTTGTTGAAGAGGCTATCTTTTCTCTAATGTACGTTTTTGGTGCCTTTGTCTAATATAAGATAACTGTAGTTATGTGGATTAGACTCTGTGTCCTCTATTCTATACCATTGGTCTACCAGCCTGCCTATGTTGGTGCCAATTCCATGCTGTTTTTGTTACTATTGCTCTGTAGTATAGTTTAAGGTCTGGTATAATGCCACCAGACATCCTATTCTTCCCTGACTTCCACAAGGATATATCCACTGTTTCCACATTCATCATGATGCCATCTCTAGTTCGAGAAATAACAAAGTTAAGAAGCAGTTAGTCCAAATATATCACCAATAACAATACATAGAAATATGTTTTATTTACAATGGAAGTTTTCATTCATTTCTTTTTATGGAGTTTTTTTAAAAAATATAAACATAATTGTTGAAGAGAGAGACTAAATGTGGCAAAATATTAACAACTGATGCATCTCAGTGAAAAATATACGAAAGTTCTTTGTATTATTCTAGTAACTTAAGGTTTTTTTCTCAAAGTAAAATGATTTTCAAAAAAAGAATGGTAAAACTTCAGAAAACAAAAACACAGGGGATCTTTGTCATGGTTAGGAGGAATATAGAAAGAATGAATGTTTTAATATGTTGTTTTAAAATTTTAGAGTTAACTATATACATTTAAAATGTAAGGATAGGGCTGGGGAATGTAACAGGAGTAGAGCCTTTGCCTAGCATTCACAAAGCCTTGGATTTGATCCCCAGCACTGAAAATAAAGAAAGAAAGAAAGAAAGAAATACATAAACAAACAAATAAAGCTAACCCAGAGGAACAAAATTATAAGCTTTGACAGGATGAGAAAAAAGTACAGAAAACCAAAAGCCCAATTTATTTGAAAGAATAGAAATTAGTCCAGCTATATCAGTAATCATAATAAATATAAATTCAAATGAATTAAGGATACCTGTTTAAAGACAGAGATTATCTGATTAGATTTTAAAACACTCCAGACTTACATTGAATATGTTGCCCTTATAGGCTACACAAAAAATAAAATTCTATCAAAAGAAGGAAAATAAAAGAACCCAGAAATGCTATTTCATATATTGATCAAAAGAAAGTGGGTATCATTGAACGAACAGCAAACAAAACAGAATTTTAGGCCAAAAAAAAAAAAAAAAGATTTCTAAAAATAAAAAGTGGCATATACATATGGTCAAATTTCCTTCCTGAAAGAGTATATCATGTTCTATTTCCAGTAGCAAATCCTGAGTATTATTCCCAAAAGTATTCCAATACAGGACAGTATCAATAATTTGTATTTGTCAATTTGGTAAACAAAAAGAAAAGAAAAGATCTTTTCATAGTTTAAATTTGAAGCCATGCTCTCTCAAACACAGAAATCATACAACAAAGCTGATGGTTGGGGACCCAAGGGGACACTGGGCCACCATAGGGTAGTGACAGGGGTAAGGGAGGGAGGAAACCTGAAGCTGACCAGCAGGAAGCCCAGTTCTTCCAGGTCGTCTAACCACTGAGCCCCTGCCCCTGAGGTTGACATCTGCTCATGTGGAACAGATTCCAATTAATTCTCAGCAGCTTATTTAATTTCTATACAGCAAAGTATATTTACTTTCTATACAATCACCAGCAAAGCTATTCCATGCCCCAGGCACAAACACTTAACAATTCTCTTACAAGAAAGTCTGAAGGACCAATTGCCCTTTGGTTTCACACAAAGCTTTCATTAAAAAACGCAACAGGAATTAGGTGCAGTTAGCAATTTCCAGAGAAATCTCTGGTATATTTTCCCTGAAAACAAAGAAAGGAAATTAAAAAAAAAAAGACAGGATTTTCTATAAAATTTAGCAAAAGGTTACTGAATTTGATGATAACAATTCTTTGAATTTACTGAAAACAAATGAGCGATTAATCCGTGCCAGGCTTTCTGCTGGAGACTTTTACACTGTGTTCTCAGATCGAATTCTCCAAACAAGTCATACTTTCGGCAGCATTATTGTCCTCATTTTACTGACAATCAAACTGAGTGTCAGAGAGGTTAAATTACTTGCCCATTGCCAGACTCTAATAAGCAGATTCATGATTCACATGGAGATGGATGGGTTCACAAAGGTGAACTCTGGGGCAGCCCTGTTATTCATATTATCAGCAGTGTAGTTAAGACTGAAAATAAAAGTAATAGTTGTAATTTCTCATTAACAAGCCTAGATCATTTAGGAAACTCTGAAGATGTAATAACATTGTGGGGAAGCATACAGTATGATTAATGCAAGCAGAAACTTTCTATACGTTCTGGAAAAAAATCATATATTCAGTTAACAGCAACAACCACTTCAGCAGAGTAGACAGTTAATCATTCTCAATAATGCTGGATCCAGGAGATATTATTTCCTGACAGGCTGAGCTGCTGGTCCGCATGGTTTTGCTGATACAGCTGCTCCTGCTTGATGCTCTAGAAAGGTTTTTGTTTTTGATTTATAGTTCGAAGTTAAAATTAGCAGAGTTTTAAAAACAATACAAAAGCCCCATGCGTCTTTCTGACACTATTACCTTATTCTGTCCACATCTTGCCACACTTTTTGCTTGAGTGGCTAGGATCTAGGTTTGGATCCAGATAAGATGAAAAATAGCCAGGTGGAAATTATTACAAAACCGGACAAGACATTTTAAAGTCTTGCAGGAAAAAAATTTTTTTWAATTGCTTTGGTTTCTAGAGTCACTATCAGAATCAGTGAGTAAAGAAAGCAAGACAAACACAAGGACTTTTTTTAGTATTCTATTTGCTTCTCCTGCCACAGCCGCATCCTATTTACTGATGTCTGTATGAAAACAGACCAGGCCTGCTACAGGCCACAAACAAGGTTTCCTTTTATCTGGCACTGCATAGTTCCTAGGAGCAAGGTCCTGATGGAAGAAATCACTCACCAATGAATTTAGTTTTTGTTGTTTTGAAGCATTTCAACCAAACACACACACACACACACACACACACACACACACACATACACAGACACACACATACACTCACGCACACACACACACACATACATCCTCTATGAGAAAAGATAAATATTCCTTAAATTCTTCAATGAGGGATATTTTTAAAGTGACAAATTCATACCTGGCAATTCTGAGCCAGATCACTCTCAATGTTATTAATGTTTTTAATAAAAACGAGTAACTTTAGAAATATAAACAATCCTTTAAAGCCTTTTCCTTTTTTTAGATATTACTGTAAATACTTGTGCTATCTCGGGGGCAGTGTTGCAAAAAGGCTTCAGACTTTATCCCCATTATAAAGGTTTTGCTTGCTGCAGCTCCCAGGGAGCTGAGCAAACATAATTCAGGTATGTACTTTGTTATCCCAAAACACATTCTCGGTTAGAAATGTAGTTACATCAATTATATCCCACAGATCACTTTTTCAAAGCCTTATTCTATCCTCAGTTTTAGCAAATAATTTACTAAAACAATGAAAAAGTGCAAAATGGCATTGGATTTCACCTCTTTTCTCTTTTCAGTCTACTTGAAGAGTGAGGGAAGAGAAGGCCAGGAAGTAAATGGAATGAAGGAGGACCAGCGAGACTCCTCACTGAATACAGAGAATAAGTATTAGATCTTTGAATAATCTAGAGTTGACATATTAGAGAATCGTTTGCCAAAGAAATGGCAAAAAATAAAATTCTGAAAAGAATGCTCCTGCTTCTTTTCACACTTACTAAACAATTCATAGCATATGAATAAAAAAAATTTCTGTTCAGAGATTTTACCCAAAAAGTACTATGTAGGTTTCATTAAGATTCCTGACTATTAAATGCTAATTACTCTCAGTGGCAAAGGAAAATACAAATCAATAGTTAATCACATGTTAAAAGAACAGTAAGTTCTTTGATGTTGTTCTGAAAAGAAGCTTCAGCTGTCTAATTCAAGGGAATTTTTTTTTTTTTTTTAAAGAAAAGGAGAAAGAATGAAGCAGGGAAATAACCCTTTTACTAAAGATCAAGAAGCCAACTCAAGTTCAAATTTGAGTCCCACACATCCTGTTTTTCACATAGACAATCATTTTGACATGTTCTAAATCACATGGCATCTCTGACTGGGAAGGATAGGCGAAGACAGGCCAAATCTAAGAACGGCTGGAGATCAAACACCAGCTAGCTGCACTCAGAACTTCTTGAGCATTAGCCTAGGACTGCAATTAGCTCTGGTATATCATGCTAGAAATTGCTTTCAAGGAACACAGTTCAAAGATCAAGTTTCTCTTTTGCTGTCCATTCACAAATAAGTATTTGCAGAAATTTGACATCCTTTGACATAATTATATAAATAGCACACACAGAATGTCTGTTCAATTTCATAAAGCAAATTTTAATCAAAGTTACACAGATTTCTGAATACTAAGAGCCTAGAGGCTCAAAATAGTGAGAAACATGTTATAATAGTGAGAAATACTATACATGAGTAATCTCTTACCAAACATAAGCATAAGCCTGGCTCTGATTATATTTTTGTATATGAGGGCAACATAAATAGTTTGGTCTTTCTGGAAATTTTAAATCCATTCCTAAACAGAAAAGATACACTCCAGCCTGAGCATTAGATCTCTTAGTCTTCTTGCCCAGTCTTGGCCAAGATCTTAGCATTACTCAACAGCAACTAAAATTTTCAAATCAATTTAAATATCTCTATCCTTGCTAAAACTTTTTATCTACGGAGCAAACTATAAATAATGGTGGGCGATCAGTAATATTCAAACTGGACCTTCAACTGGGCAATGTCGATGTTATCTGTGGTTTGCATTTTTTAGGGAAAAGTGTTTATGGGTTTGTTCAATTTAGTGAACTATGAAACCAAATGAAAAGCCTCACCTTGTGATGTCCAAATTCATTCAAAATGCTTCCCAGTTTTCTGGTGTTGCTATGTAATTTGGGGGCAGCAACAGCTGGATGGGGATCCCGCCAATCGATGGACAAGCGGTGATACCAAAGGCGCTGACTTCCCAGAATGTGAGCTGATTTGACACTAGGATCAAAACGATGCACTTCACATCCCTCGTTGGCCATGCTCACCTCAAAATGAGTATCATCGCTTCCCAGCCTGGAGAGGAAGAGGGTAGAAACCAGTTAACAACAACAACAAAATGTAGTAAAGCAAACTGTCAGACTACCAGAATGACAGATCCAAGGCCAATTTTCTTAGTCATATCAAATCTTCTTTCTCTCTCTCTTTTTTTGTTTTTAATATGTGTCTAATGTACACATGAAATAAACTTTCTTTCAAAAAGAAAAAAAAAAGTATTACAGCTCAAAGCCTCTGGATAAAAGACAGAGAAATTATCTGCTCAAAACAGACCAGAAAACCAAGTACTTTAACATGTAGAAGCATAACAAAGTGATTTTTTTTAAAGATGTAAATCATAGTAGCAATGAGACAAAGAAGAATATTCACTAGTCTTGAGATTTTGCTCAGAATATGATAAAAAAAAATATAAGCCCCATATTAGTTCCTTGAGGAGATTTCATTCTACTAACAAGATAATTTGTCTCCATTCTAATGACCCACGAACTGTGTGTGCAATTTGGCTTAAAGAAGACAGCTGTTTTCTTAGAAATTTTCTTAGAAATGATGTGTATTTTAAAACGGTTAAAGAAAAAGGCAAATATATGTGGTTCTACTACATCCAGGACACAAGAAGCAGAAGGGTTTCCTTACCTCAATTCACATCCACAAAGGAAAGAAATCATGAATTAATTATAATTAAGTACCCAATTGGGTACTTACAACATACTTACAAATATTTGAATTTACTCAGAAATATTTCTTATTTAATGGCATTAGAATCATCACTTTGATTAAAGCACTGATTTGAATGAAAAGCATAAAATTAAGCCAGAGAGGGTGATTTTTTTTAAAAAAAATGGTGATTATGGCTTCTCTGCCCAAAATACAATAATTACATGTGGTTTAGGATAGCAAAAATTCACAGGGTATCCACAATACATGGCCAAACCTGGACCTAGTGCAGAAATACTTTATTCTCCTAGACTCCATTGCAGACTATTGCCTAATTTGGAAATACAGAAGTTCAGTAGGTAAGAATTGTTCTCCAGATTTTATTTAATTAAACCTTCAATGTAGACATCCTCCACTAGACATTCTTAATAGTCTTATTGGCCTCATCCTCCCCATTCACCCTTCTACCACTGGGATCCATGATGTGCCAGTCAAAGAATCAGAGGATTCTCTGATGTCTCTGGATTACAGTTCTTTCTATGCTCTTTGGCTAAAAAAAAAAAAAAAAAGATTCAACACTCCTCTCAAACATTCCCATTTCTTCTCCTGTGCAATCCTCCCTATTTTCTATTTCCTTTTGAATCCATATAGTTCAGACCACTGTTACTTTACCCAGTTTCCTCCCGTATTTTCTATGACCTAATCTGGTGTGGCAGATTGACTCGCTGGCCTTAGTTCTTTTCCCCTCCCTCATCCATGCTACGGCAGGCCGTGCTCATCTATCCTTTCTGAACTTTGATTTTTTGACTTGGTCATGTGACTTCCTTTATGGGAGGAAGTAACAGTAAACCATTTGTGATCCTAAAAATTGAGTGCTTCTGTTTACTCTCATGTATCATCACAGTGATAAAAAATTTGCCTTGGATAGCTTGCTGGTCTCAAGAAAATATGAGTTATGAGGAGCACAGACAACCCAGCTAGTTCCCCAGCCTTCCATAAAAAAACAGAACTGCCCTTTCCCATTTCATCATGAAATAAATCCTCCCAATTGAGCCCAACCTGGGTCAGCTGAAGCCCAGATGACCTGAAGACATATTAGCAGTAATAAATAACAGTGATATTTAAGCCCCTGAGTTTTAGAGTGATTTGTTACACAGCAATAGCTAACTGATATGCCTGGCATTAAGTATGAATCCAAGAGTTTCAGCTAAAACTACAAAGCATTTTTCCTTAGCAGATTTGGTTCCATATAGGTGAGAATATTGTAAAAGTTGTCTGTCCCAAATGATTTTTCATCTCATTAAATTTGTTGACTCTTAGATGAGCAAAGCAGTATTATCATAGGTAAGTTAATAAAAGGACAGTTTTGTATCTGCAATTATGTCAAAATTTACTTGTTAAATACAATTTGCATATAAACCCTCTAGTGTAAAAATGTGCATACTTTCTTCCTCTGAATTTTCAGAATTTTTTTTCAAGCAAACATTTTATGCTTTAAAATATATATAAATATTTATACTTAAGTATAAAATTTATAAGTATAAATCACATATATAATATATTTATATTTATATACCAAATCATATGTATATGTATATATGATTTAAATCAAGACCTAAAAATATCTTAATCATTAAACAAGTCACATACTCTTCTATAACTAATTTTTTTTTTGGCAAGGCAAAAAATTATATATTGATATTATCATTTACAATTTAAACTAATTTCTATAATTAAAAAATAACAAATACACATAGAAAAAATCAAATGGCACTAAATACATAAGTGAAAAGTAAGTTTTCTACTATGAGAAATTTTAGCCACTAATTTCCAGAGATTAACATGATTCGTAGTTATTTATGTATCTTTCCAGAAATTTTCTACACATACACAAGTATCTTCTATTATAAATTATTATAAGAAAACACATACATATATGGTGGGGGAATTATCTTGCATGATACATTAGATAACATGAAACTATTTATAATTTGTAGTTTTTATTAACTTATGTTACCTTCACTCAATCCATTTAATCTTAAAATATAAATATGTACTTGTATTGGAAAGAAATATACAACACTTAATTGGCATCTATAATTTTTATTTTTATTTGTTTGAAATGGTACTTTTTAAGGCTTAAATTAGTCAAGTTTGTGATAGAGATAAAAGCAAGAGGAAGAATAAATGGAATATACAAAGATGTCACAAAATATAGTCCAAAGTAGTAAAACCGAGAGTCAAATCCAATCTGATAGTTCTAAGGCATGTGCTCTCTATACTCTATATCACAGCAGGTAAGCACAGGATACAGGTTCATGGAGGGAATATTTATAACCTCAGGAGTATAGAAAATTGTCTGTTACTAGACAGTTAAGATCTATGAAGAAAAAAGCTTGCTCATTTCTGAATCCCCAGTGCTATATAGATAAATTATGTTACACAGACTTACAGAATGCTGCCCTGAGTGAAAGAAGACTTTTAGATGTGTTCTAAAATTGCCAGAATATACAGCACAATATCCAAACATAGTATATGTGGTGAGCTACATTTTGCTGACTCAATAATGTAAATAAAAATATTTAAAGCGTACTTCTTATGTGCAAGGCACTATATTGGACACAAGGGACAAACAGATAAATTAGTAATGAAGAAAGATTTTTGAACAAATAACTATAATAAAGCAACAACTATTATTTGTAGCAAAGAATGTACTTAGGGGCTGGGATTGTAGCTCAGTGTAGAGCACATGCCTAGCACGTGAGGCACTGGGTTCAATCTTCAGCATCACATAAAAATAAAATAAAATAAAATAAAGGTAGTATGTCATCTATGACTAAAATATATTTTTTAAAAAAGACGTGTTCTTAGTCTACAAGAAAACCATTTCCTGCTATTATTTAACCAGAAAGAGAATTTACTGTTCCTTTTAATTCATACAAATATTTTACAAATATGATACATTAGATATAATCCATGAAGCAAGAAGTATAGATCATATGCCTTCCATCTCAAAGTCTAAGACAGCTGTTTCATTTTCTGCCATCTTTTCTGTATTGCAGCCATCAGGAAAGGTAAAGGGGAAGCCACGGTCACATCTTTCCTCTTGAGGCTACGGCCTAAAAGTTGCACACATCATCACTCCTACTCACATCTCACTGCTCACACCTATACATGGGCACTTAGAGCTTTAAGGAAGGCAGGAAATGCAGCCATCTGCAGGGTGGCCACATGCCCTGCTGACCTTGGGAGTTCTGCTTCCAAAGGAACAACAAGAGAATAGATACTGGGGGATAATTAGCATTTCCTATGTACTTTGAATTAAGACTGCAGCTTTTCCTTTCCATTGGGGTGATAAAATGATATAACTCATGATAATAAACATCATTCTGCATACATTACTGGTGGAGTTGGAGATCACAACAAACTTTTCAGCAAAGAAGGACCATTAAACCTAAGAGCTTGTAATACATTCCACTACTGTCATGTATGTAAAAAATAAGTTTGGTTCTATTCTGCTTTTGTCCAGAATAGAACCAAACTTATTAGAATAGACAATATGATTAATGTATGTACATTCCATGTATGTATTATATGTCAAAATACATTCTGCTGTCATGTACAACTAAAATAAATAAATAAATAAAATAAATTAAAAAATTACAAAAAAAAAAAAATAAAATAAAGTTTCTCTCTCTCTCTCTCTCTCTCTCTCTCTCTCTCTCTCTCTCGTCTCTCAAAAAAAAAAGTTTAAAAAACTAATACTACATATTTTAAAGAGGAAAAAAAACCCTAAGAGCTATTGAAGAAATAGGAAGGAAGCAACTTGATTTTCAATGGTAATGTAGAATATCAGAGTAATCACCTTGGCCATCCTTCTCTGATATCACAGAAACAAACAAACAAACAAAAAAAGGATTCCTGGACTCGGTTGTGTGGGTTGTGTACTAAACAATGCTAGGAGGTGCCATTCACTTCAGAATGACCCAGTGATAATTTCCTGGCAGATGGCAGTAAGGCTCTTGGGAGAGGGGTACATTTTCACAAGCTGCACCAAGGTGTTCTTTGAATTCGCTTTGGTTGGTGCTGGCAACCACCTACCACTTTATACCACTGAAGGGTAAAAGGGATGGATTGTGGCACTGTGTCAGGTCACTCTTTTAAAAATATTCTTCAGACTATTAATGTGAGTGACTTTTATATTCCCTAGGAATTAAAAACTCAGAGCTTGAACAGATAGGTGCTCAAGACCATTAGCCAGTAGGGAAATACAAATCAAAACCACAGTGAGATACCCCTTTGTGTTCAATAAGATAAAATAATAAGTGTTGGCAAGGATGCGGAGAAAATAGAACCCTCATAGATCACTGGTGAGAATGTAAAATGGTAAACACCCAAGATATGAAAATATGTCCACTCAAAAACTTCTACATGAATGTTCATCTCAATATTCATAATAACCAAAAAGCAGAAAAACCCAAATGTTCATGAGCTGATGAGTGGATAAATAGAAGGTGGTATATCCATACAATGGAGTATTATTCAGACATGAAAAGAAATGGAGGTCAGTACATCCACATGGTACAATGTGGATGAACTTTGAAAACATGATGCTAAGTGAAAGAGAACAGTCACTAAAGGTCATATATCCTATGATTCTATTTACATTAATGTCTAGAATAGGTGAATCTACAGAGACAGAAAACAGAGTAGTGTTTAAAACTGAGGGCTGAGGGGTCAGGAGATGATGGCTGCCAGGGAGATTGGGAGTAACTGCTCTGAGGTATAGGGCTTCTTTTGAGGGATAGTGAAATGTTCTAAAATTTTCTGTAGTCGCTAGAATATCATTGGATTATACACTTTAAATATGTGAATTCTATTTCCATAAAGCTGTTTGAATGTTAAAAAACAGAAACCCAGAGCCGATATAGGGAAAATTTTAAACCCTCATCATTGAAGGAAGAGGGGTTAAAAGAGGTCAGGCAATTACCATTTTCCCAGAGCTTTTCAGTACTCGTTCTCCCACCCAATAGGAGCCAGAGAATCTGGCCAAAGGATTATCTTAATCTCCACACTGCTACTATTAATGGGGGAGAAATAGGTTTTGCAAAGCATAAATGACCCATAATAGTGTATGAAATATTTTGTAATTATTGATTTTTGTTAAATAACATGGCAGCAAGCGCTGAGATTTCATCCGAAACATATTCTCAATAGGGACATCATTACTTCTAAGGAGGTGAAATGGATTCTGGGGGAATCTTCCTCTCTTTGCATACAGTGCACAGCTATTTTAATTTTGCATAGGCAGATATTCAGTACATCTATGGATTTGCAAGATCATGGAGGGTGATTAGGGAAAACGATCTAAAAAGAGATTTGGGGTGCCCAATTTTCTGATTCCTCCTTCACATTTACTATGCTAACACCATTCCTGCTGTCTTAATTAAACTACCGTAAGACAAAAATGTTTGGCTCTGAAGCTTGTTCACTCTTGAAACGCTTACAGCAACCGGAAGAGCCAGATTTTCTATATAAAATATTGGCTCTTATTGCCTAAGCATGTGTCACTTATGAAATCTTCTGTCTTATGCGAAGAATTTTATGTCTTGCAAACAAATACTACCACCTACCACAGAACTAAAGAAGGGAAGGAGAATGTTTACCCCCGTGCTATCTCAGTTTTTCCCTTTCACATCCAGCTCTACCCCTAAGATGTAATCTTTGACATGAAAAGTAAAAGAGGTGATATTTCCCACTTTAATCTACCCTCCTCCCGGCCCTCCCCACCGGTGCCTGAAATCTCTCCTGCACCAAGGACACCTGAAGACCTGCAGGGAAGACGCCACCTGAGGTTTCCAGGTGCAMAACGTTATCCTCCACATCCACAGCCTCTCCTTATTTCTCTTCCCTTTTCCTTTCCTGTAATATTTACATTTCTTCTCACTCCCTTCCCCTATCTTCACTGGTCAAAGCCAAAAAGGGATCCTATTTTAACTTTCAATGGAACACCATCAGAGTTCACTGGACAAAATGTCTTTCACATTTTATTCTGGAATGAAACATTTTGACTCCTGGTGAGGAAAATTCACCACCAGAGAGATAGAGGTGGGGACACCTGCTTTAGCTATTGTGGTGGAGGAAAGGGAGATGTAGGGCTGCTGGTCTTTGTTTTCTGACTGCTGTGTCCTCCGTCCAGGAAGGTCACCCCTGCATCTTCAGTTTGTCAGGGAATTACTGGGCCCAGCAATGGCRTGTTCTTCTTGCAGCACATACCCCATAGGCAGGGGCCACATGACTCACCACCTGCCCTCCTCACCTATCATGCAACTGTCCCAGCACTCCCAGATGCTGGGATGGAGCCCACATTTCCTGCCGCTGCGCTTGATTTTGGGACCACCACTTTGGGTCCAGGTCTTCTCAGCATCAGTTGAGATGTCCTCAGCCAGCTATCTGCTTGTGCCGCCAGCATGTGATTCACCTCAACAGGAGGTGCTTTTCTGGATCCTGATCCTAAGTCACAAGCCAATCAACATTATCACTCACGATTCCAGCATCCTTTTTCAGCCATCAGAAATATTTTCTTTGGTTTCCATCAAATATTGACCTTTCTAGTCTTTTCATTCCTTTCCTCTGTGGAGTTCAAATGCCCTCATCTGCTCTTAACAAAGTTGACTTTGAGTGGTAAAAATTGAAAGAAAAGTAAGAAACTACCTTTTTATCTGTACTAATCTGAAACCTGACTGTAGAACCATCTTAATCCCACAGTTTTGAAATATAAGAAAAAAAGAAATTTAACGTTTTCCCCTAAAAACAACTTTTCAAGTTTTATTTTACTCAGTGATATGCTTTAAATGAAATTATTCTAGAGTGTAAAATACTAAGTGAAACATAAAGGCATTTCAGAGCAGAAAACAGGACCAAGCCGAGATTTCCAATTTGCATGCAGTACTATGCAATTATTTTTTGACCTACTTTCATACATCTTTAATATGACATAAAATAAACTCTGCTGTCACAACTTCCCATTCTTCCTACAGTCTTAAAGCTGAGCCAGTGGACTCTCAAGAAAAGAGCTCAGTTCTAACCATCTGTCTCAGCAGCTCATCATCTAAACCAAGCCTTCAAATTCAGTGAAGAGTTTCCCTCCCCAGCCTCCTCCCCTCAGGCCATCATTTTCATGGTAAACATGTATTGAGTGCCTACTGTGTGCCAAGCTCTACCAATAGACACCATCAGTATATCTTCATTTAACCCCATATGTATCCAATATCTCTAAATTCTTTCTGGATCTTTTCTTCTTTTAATCCACCATGACTAGCAATTCTTGTTTGTAATATTTGATAGCAGTTGGGATCCTTTCTGCATCAGCACCTTTGGAGCGTCCTCCTCATTACCTTTGTCTGTTCCTAACCCTGACCCCCACCTATGATTCTGGTTATCTGAATGTACACCATAGAGGTAGGTAAATAAAAATCAGAAGTGAGGAACAGACATGTGATATTAGTGTCCCAAGTACTTTTTGAAAAGGACTTCAATAGTCTAGCCTGAGAACCTACATATTTCCTACCAAAGAGTCTTTTGGAAAAGGTGTTTTAGCAGAAATAATTTCTTCCTGCCTTTTCTTTTGAGATACATTATTTGTAAATTCAGAACCACTTATAAACATACCGATATATTTGATGAAATAGCCTCATTTCTTTATGTTCATGCATTTACAAAAAGTTCTCTAGCCAGGCATGTTGGCRCATACCTGTAATCCCAGCAGYTTGGGGATTACAGGTGTGCTACACCATATTCATTCCTTTTCATTCACCATACTCATTGGGAGGCTGAGGCAGGAAGATCATTAATTCAAAGCCAGCCTCAGCAATGTATCGGAGGTCCTAAACAACTTAGCAAGACCCTGTCTCAAAATCAGAAATAAAAAGGACTGGAGGTGTGGCTCAGTGGTTAAGCACCCTTGGGTTCAATTTCTGGTAACAAACAAACAACAACAACACACACACACATAAAAAAAAAAAAAACTCTCTAAATTCATTTGTACATATAGGTCACTTTCCACCTGAATAACTGAACATCCATCTTTCTATTTTGACAAAATCACATAGTTTTCATAAGAGTCTCCTTTATTTTTTAAAATGCATAAAACTATACTTAGATTTATCATTGGTTGTTATAGTTTGGATCCCTCAAAGACTCATGTGCTGCTGTTCCCAATGAAGTCATGTTCGGAGATAGGGCTTTTAGGACATGACTGGATCGTGAGTGCTCTAACCTCATTATTGGATTAATTCCTGTGATTGATTAGTCATTTGAATGAACTATTAGGAAACCATGGAAACTAGAGGCCACAAGGCATGGTTGGAGGAAGGTCACCGGGGGCGCGCCCCGCAAGGATATTTCTTGTTCCTGGCCCCTTTTCCCACCCACTGTCTACTTCCTGGCCACCATAACCCAAGCGGCTTTCCTCTGTCATGCCCTTCCATCATGAGGTTCTGCCTCAACTCAGGCGCCAAGTAATGGAGCCAGCTGACTGAAACCATGAGCCAAGATGAACTTTTCCTCCTTTAAGTTGTTTATGTCAGGTATTTTGGTCACAGCAATGAAAAGTTTGGAACCAAACATAAAAATCCAACAGTACCCATTATTCATCTCGGGTCTCTCATAACTGTGTATAAAATTTCTAACTCTCTTTTTCTAGCTCTATTCATTAATATTCTCTCTAAAGAGAGTCTAATTCTCACTGGAAAATATTGGTTTTATCAAGAGGATCATCTTGTGCTGCCAGCTTACTACCAGCAAAAATGGGAGAGAAAGTGGCCCTGGTGATTTGCCTAGGCCCACAGTTTTACAACAGATCAGTCTGAGACAATGGCATATGGCAAAGCATAGCACCTGTACACACTGCAGAGTCAGAATTTTGTGTTGCTGAAAAAGTCATGAATGTCTGCAGAAAAATTTCCTTCTGCTATTAAAAAAAAAAAAAAAGTATTTACCCTAAAGAATAGAGGCGGCACTGCTTGTTGCGGATTTGATGAGCTAAGCCAAACCTGTCATCAAGACACACCAACCAGGGCTTCTTTGCAGAGCTGGAGTCGGTAGCCAAGCCGTCTGTACTCATGTGATCACATGCAATCTGTAAGGATTGGAAATCAATATGAATAATTTTAAAATGTTAGATGATAAATGTTAGGTAGAGACTTATTGCTTCCCTGGTCCCTGAAATTCTTAATAGGAGAGTTATGTCCTCCACTTCTCACTATTCCCCTCCCCAGGGAACTACGTGGCTGCTGTAAAATGTTCAGAGGAATTTCAATTACATACCAGATCATAAGTAACCTCAAGGAAACTCAGAGCAGGTTTGAAGGGAAGTTAAGAACTGCTGTCGCCCTTTGTCTTGAGAGCAAATCAGAAGCAGAGTTGGGAGTGGTGTCCAGAGGCTTTACAGAGGTGCATTAGTCTTGGAGGGTGGACAGAAGTTGACAGAGAAGCTCAGACCAAGAAGGATTCCAGACACAGAGGACGGTGCAGACAATGTCCCTACTGTGAGACGTGCAATACAACTACAGACACAGACCTCTGAGGGACACTGGCAAGGTTATCTAGTCCTGATTCCAGGCAGATAAGGTGGGGCCACTAARGTCAGAAAGGCGGCCTGTGTTATCCAAGGTAGACAGTTGATCACAGGTCAAGTGAAATTAATAGGCAGTCCCTGCTGATAAGATGGTATTCTGTGTGATAAGGTGCCCTAATGAGCTTCCTCCTGGGAGAGRAGGGCAAGAGTTCCAGGCAGAAGGCCCTTCCCCCAGCTAACCAAAGCATTTCTTTTAACTCATCCATCAAAATTAGATAAGAAAACCAAAGGCAATGTGGGTGTAAGTCAAGCAGAAGTTAGTCTCAAATTCCAAGTGCACATTAAGCAAATGTACATCATGAGGGATGCTGACTTGTGTGGAGGCCAGTACAGTTTGCATGGCTGAAGCTGTTAGAATGGCCAAGAGATGCACCTTGCTGAGCAGCAGTGTCCTCCTTCCTATTCCTCAAAGCTCTCATAGTTATCACGATGCTCCACGACACAGCAGCTCCTGCTGTCACACCAGAGGCAATCAGACCACTCCAGACACAAAGGATACTTTCAGGTTTAATTCATTGGAAAATATAACAGCAAGTGATTTTCTTTAGATGATATTCTAAGCTTGCCTAATCTTTTTATTTGACTGATTTTCCAAAGTTCTAATCTAAGAAAAGCATATCATGGGAAGCCTATTCAACTAACTAGTGCAGCAGCTGCTCTGCTTTTGCTCTATGAGGGCTCTAGCGAAATCATCCTGGAGATATTTATCAGCCATTGTGACAGAATCTTCAACGAGGATTTAGGGATCTCAGAGGAAAGCTGAAAAAGCAAAACGCGAGGTGTTCTTTTTCCCTTTCCACTTCTCTCTCTCCGACAACTGTTTAAAGGGGGAAAATACCAATACAAAATGGAATTTAATTTTCTCTCAAGCAACTACTACAGAATACATTTATTAACTGAGTGCATTAGCATCTTAATTTGTGTAATTCATCTTTACTAGTTTCCCATAGAGAAATGGAAATTATGCTTCTGCTTGCCCCCCACCTCTTCTTCCCCACTCACCCACCCAAAGGCAGGGAAGTTTGCTAATCTAATTAATCAGAGCTCAATGTGCTAACCGAGCCCTGATCTTCTAGTGGGCACATTACCATGCCTGAAACACGGGCATCTTCATTACTGCTCTGCCCCATGCCCTGCCTCTAGCAGGAAGCTAATTAGCTCATCAGGGCAGTTCTGTGTGACCCCAGGCCATGCCTTTACCACAGGAGACTGAGCCATTGCTCCAAGGCAGCTTCTTGGAGTGTTGTTTTTTTTTTTTTTTCCTAAAGTGGTAGGATGATTCCCATAGCGATTGTCCTTTGTGGGTGCTTCTCCCTAAGAACCTCCATAATGACAGATAGGATATGGATGTTCACAGGCCTTTCTATATAGTTCCCTTCTCCGCATCATCAAAATCTAACCCTAGCCTCTTCCACAGAGTTTYCTAAGGTGTGGTCCACCTGCATCAGAACCATCTGTGAGGTACTTTAAAATGCAGTTTCCTGGGTCCCACTCCACATCTGCCAAAAAGAACCTTTGAGACTGACACCTGGGAACGTGCATTCTAATAGGCTCCCTGGGCTGATTCTTATGCAGACAGTCCTGCAAGGTTACTGGAAGGTTTGGCCTTTTGTAAAATCCAGGGAAATGATCCAAACTGGTCTTATCTTGGCCTTAGTGAATTAAGGCAAGAAGCTATACGTGGGCCAAGGCTTTCATCTGCAAACAACACCTTTCTGACCTCGCCCCTAACAAAGGGCCAACAGGGTAGGTACCAACAWTTAGTCAGAGGCCTCCAACTATCAGGTATGAAGGGTCAAGAAGGCTTTGAGATCGCCCTGCTCCTCCTTTGTCCATGCCAGGCAACTGGATTTTATCTTATTGAAGATAATACTTTTTCTAATTAAGCATTGCTTCTTATTCTAAGATTTCATCTTGCACAGACATATCCCTGTAAAAGAGAGAGATTCTTTTYCATTCAATCACTCTGATAATGTGCCCCCTTCTTTTTCTTAGGTTTAAAATAAAACACAGGGAWTATCTAGTTTTAACCATTTAGTAACCATCTCATTGACAGACCTGAGCTTTTGAAAACAACTAGGAGTYCTCCATAAATTCTGCTCCTAAAAATTAATTAAATATTGATTTCTCAAACTTTCTAGTTAAGATTTATGGCCAGGGCTTCAATAAACTCTCTTGCAAGCAAAATAAGTAAGGGCAGCAACTTCAAGCTAAGCTTTAACTCAAGTAATTACATCCTCTGTCTGCCTAATACCCCTTGTAATTTTAGCTATATAAAGAGAATTAGGTGTGGACAAGGGAAAACAAACTCCAGAAAAGAAATTTCTTGATTTTTTTTTTAGTTATTTAACTGAAAGGGCTTATTTATTTTCATTTCATTTTGTATCCCAAAAGCTTGAATAGTATTTYTGCCAACTCATAAGTAGAATGTAGAACCCTTAAATCTGGGGACTTTTAGCAAGAATCACTTCAACAATCAACTGTATGTTTATATACAGTTCCATTATTAAAAGGCTCAAGGGTATTGTATTTCTGTTGTTTTTATCCTGGTGTATGTGTATGTGTGTGTATGCACATGCAGCAGTAAATATAATAGATGTCATTGCTATGATGTTGTAAAGTTATAGTCTGAATATTCAGAGCCTAAACTGAACTCAGGTTGTCTTTATAAGTATATGTGTAGATAATTACATAAATAGATAAATAATAGAAAGAAAAACAGGTCAACTTTAAAACACATTTTTTTTCTTTTTCTAAGCCACTATGCTTAGATTCATTTTGCACAGCAAGGCTTGCTTCCTGGAGGCATATGGTTTGGGGGTTGCCATAAAAAGCTATATCTGGAGCYTTCCCTCAGAACAGAGCACTGTATTTATGATTTAACCATTTCTTGTTAGCAGCAGACAGTATCATCATTGACAGTAGAACCCCGCATATAAATCATTATCTTTTATTYATTATATATATAATATGTATATATACATATTATATATATATATGCCTAATTGGACTGAACTCAATGTTTTACACCTTACACAAATACCACATCCTTTGGTGTTTCATTAAAAAAAATGAAATATTGAGGCACTGGAGGCTAAGACAGGAGGATTGCAAGTTCAAAGCTAGCCTCAGCAACTTCGCAAGGCCCTAAGCAACTTAGCAAGACCCTGTCTCAAATTAAAAATAAAAAAGGGCTGGAGATGTGGCTCGGTGGTTAAGTACCCCTGGGTTCAATCACTGGTACCAAGGAAGGAAGGAAGGAAGGAAGGAAGGAAGGAAGGAACCAAGGTCACTACAGTACACAGTACAAGCCCAGGATCATGTCTATGGCTATCTAATGCTATGCTGTCCTGTGTGCCCTGTGTCTCTATTCCCAAGTTCCCTTGGCCTAGGAAGCCTTCTTCATTCATCTGTCCACCCTCCTGTTGTCATACCTCTCTTGCATGCTAGCTGTTTACCAGTATGTGTGTGTCAGAGGGTGGTATTTAATATTCCAGAGCCTAGCACACTGCTGGCCAGGAGCAGGTGCTCAAATAACCTGCTGCATTGATGCATGGATAAATCAAATCAACAATGAACACATCAAATGCCAGTCCTCACTCCAGAAGTTTGAACACGGATTTGAGGGAATTAATTTTCTTTCTTAATTTTGAAAAGCAGCATAAGAGAATGGGGGTGGAATTCACTTTAAGTACTTTCAGAGACTTTTTTTCCTAGCCCATTATGACTCACTACTGCTAACTGAATTTTTTTCAGTAACAGTGACTCTAATATTCTGCCAGTTTTACAGAATTTCTTTGTCAAGATGAGCTCTAAATGAGGCATAAGCCACAAAACCAGTCACAAAGCTCTGCATTACATAGGGAAGTGGAGGGAGCAATGGTTAGCAAAAGATTCAGGTAAAGAACCACTTACTGTTATTTCTGATGGCTCCCACCTCCTGGCCTCTTAGTAACCCAGAAGTGCATCAGAGCACAGTACTTTGCCTGGATAAAATGGCTCTTGATTACAAAAACCAGTGTGTGGTCTAGAATCTTATCTCATTCTTTCTAGAGGATAAAAATCCTTCTAGTGAACTTTGAATAAGTTCAGGACATGCTATTTCAAAATATGGCCAGCTGGTATATTGATTACTCCAAGCTGAAATCATTTGAGTAACTGTAACTTCAGCAAGGAGCATTTGGACTGCTTTTCCTACATGCAGCAAGATATAASATTCTTTGGGGAAAGATGTCTTTTCCATACCAAGGCCAGAAAAAGAGTCTTGATCACCAGAGGCTGGAAATTGGGACTGCAATGTAACGAAATAAACAAACTATTTAAGGTAATCCCTATCTTCCACCAGATTTTGCATCTACCATCACTACCTCTTTTGGAAGCATCCCGAAAATCTACTGCCCTAGTCTAGGTATCCATTTATCCTGTCATTCCTTCACAAGTTTATTGTTCTTTGTCTTAAAGAAAAAAGCATCATGCTTTGGTCATTTTGGGGGATCTTCTATTATGAAGATCCCCGTGTACATGTAAATTTAATAAAACTTTTATGCTTTTCTCTTATTCATCAGCTCCTATATTAATCGGGATCCTAGAACCAGCCAGAGTGCATGTGGGAACCAGAATGCATGTGGGTGGAAGAGATCTAGTTCTTCTTTACAGCGTCAGCAGACAAGTCTCTCTTATTGCACTCATTGAACTGAATAATAAGTATGCACTCATTTATCTGCCTTCACAATTCATTTGTTAGCTCCTTGAGRGCAGAGATTATATTCCCAGGACCTAATGCGGTTCCTAACATGTTGCAAGTATTCAGAGACCMTTGCTTCATAACAATCCTATTTTCTCTGCACAAGACACAAAATCTCTGCACAAGATCACAGAACTGGGAGAGACATTAGAACCAATTTAATCCAATCTCTATTTTTTTCAAGCCCAAAAATCAAAGGAAAAGGAAATTGCCCAGGGTTCCAGCATCAGACTACAKCACATCAGAGGACATTGCTGCTTTTTTTTTTTTACCTTGTCTTTTTTTTTTTTTTTCTCCCCCAGAATTTTTCTTCTTTCAGACCATGGCTCATGAGAGGAATCTGAAATGACCATGGCATGCCTCAAGATCATCTGCTAAGTAAATATGCCTTGTATAAGTTACTTAAAATGCCTTAAAAAGGGAATTTGGAGTCTTACACTCAGTAAATTAATTTTGGAGGGTGAAGCCCATCGTTCTCAAACTCAATTTATAAACTTAACACCTCTCCTTTTTCCTCTGAGGCCTTTAAGAGCCTTTTAAAGTCATCATTAAGAAGTCTAGCTTCCTATCTTTCATGTAAAGCCAAAGTGTAAAATTAAAATTTCAGTATTTTAATTAAGTCTGCATAAGTCCACCCAATTAACTTGCAGCAGCAAAATAAGATGAAATTATGTAAAGCACGGGGACTAATTCATCATTCCATCATCCACAATTAATTCCACAAGCTTCTAATTCCATGTTTGGGTGACAGGTATTAAAATCTCTATGATTGTCTGACTGCATCATAGGAGAAACAGGACTTTCTTTTATCCCTAAACCAGCATCTCAAAGACCAAGAAATATATTGCTTCCCACGGATTGAAAAAAAAGGCTTTACTGACAATGAGGTTCAGGAGGAGGAGAAATGTGCCAAGAGCCAGTGGGATGAAGGAAAGAAAAAGAATCCAGGATCCCCAGGCCCAGCCACCTCCAGACCCTCGGGAAGTCCCCCGAGTGGGCCTGTGCTAGCTCCCTGGCAGTCAGGGTTCTTAAATTACTAGCACTTCATAGTTCAGGGCTAAGTGTCTCTTGGGCCTAGATCTCCTYTTATATCTGCCTTTTTTCCCAGGATCAGGCAACTTGAGAATGGAAACCTCCTGATTAACGTGTCAAGAGCCATAGACTCTCCTTAATGGACAGTCTTTTCGCCTGCTCGGGGCACTGACTCAGCCTGGAGCTAGGCCGGAGCTGCCACTGTGTGTTAAGTCACTAATAAAAGCTGTTGCTCAGTAATGATTTAAAGTGYTCCGAGGAGAGGGAGACTTTGGATTCATTAACTTCTCATCCTTCTGCCTCAAAGACTCCTCTGCTGTCTTGCCTACTGCATCCCTGGCTGCCAGGCATCTGTGGCAGAGAAGTGAAAAGGCAAATGCTTCCAAAGGCAAACCGGAGCTCCAGCCTCCAGATGATGGTGTTGTTTTGTGACACACATGACTGCCTACTCACAGGGACGAATCTGTCACTTCAAATGGTTTTCCAAAGCAATTTTCTAAAGTGGATCTTTAAACCACTTTGGGATGAATCATTAGAACATTTCAGGTTGATGAGACTCCTGGAGGAAAGAAGATGCCTGAGCAAATGGAAGGCACCTCATCTTCCTCCGAGAGAGGGGATAAATTTAAGCAGCAACACCTCAGAAATYAGGTCCCTGTCAAGTCGCTCAGAACCTCCCTACCCATCAGGAACTTAGGTTTCGAAGGGGCAATCAATATTTGARCCTCAAACCCAACCTGGGTGGTGCTGATGTATTGCAGGAACCTCAAGGCTTCTTCATCCAGGGACTGAGCAGGGCCCGCCCAAGGCTGGAGCTCTATATGCCACCGGGGACCCTGTGAGAGACAGAGAACATAGTGGGTAAGGAATGAGGAGCCTGGCGGGGTGGGGAAGAGTACCAGAGAGGATCAGGCTGTCATAACAAGCACGTGTGCAWGGAGGCAGCAGGGGGGTCATCTGTAGCTGCTGCCATTAAGGCCACATCAGTCACAAGGAGATAAATGAAGCCTGAGAAAGCCCAGTACCAAAGGTAAGCAGAAGACTGCAAGAGCTCTGGGGACTGTCTGAGCTTCTGATACAAAGCAGACTCCACTTGTCCCTTAATTGTGACTTTATGTTACTTGATGCCAATCCCCATTTGGAAGAAAAAATCCCCAATCTACGATGGTTACCTAAGCTTAGAGCTCCCTAAGGGCTAGTTTTTTGTGTTGGCGGTACCCTAAGGCTGGAATCTCATCTTGGTGGGGAACCAACACTCAGGCACTTTGTCATTTTCCTCAGCCCAGGGAGATGGGGTGACGCCACCTAGTGGCTGAGCTCATGCACATGGGGGTGAGAAGCCAGGAGCTGTCCCCACGGGGACCAGAATTTTGGCTTTCTAGTACTAAGACGTGGCCCTCACCTTTCAGCAAAGAATGCAAGGTGCTCTCCCACAATTGGTAGTTTGGGATGAGCCCTAGGGCCCCCTTTTGTACCAAGGATAGGTAGATGAAGGACAGGGGTGGGTGGCAGTGGTTTAGAAGAAACAAAAATGGGAACTCCTCTAGTCGATAGGACACACAGGTGATGATGTCCTTGCTAGACAGAGCCTGAAGCTCCTCACCTGTAGTTGTCACCACCTGGAGACCTCCAGGAGGCTCACTGTGATTCTAAGGGATGAGAGGGTTCAACCTGCAGGCAGGGCAGGGTTGTGGGGTCAGGAGATGCTCCAGCAGCTGGCAGGATGGATGTCCAGCATCAGGGACATCTTCGGGGGTCATGGCACTGGGGTTCCTGCAGAGTGGCCACTTAAACCTCCTTTATGATGAGGAGGGGCACGGGAGGGTTCTGGGGACAAGATAAGGGGAACACTCACATAGACACATTGTCCTCTGGGTGGGTGTTGTGACAGGAACTGTCTGTACCCCAAAAAAGAAACATCTGCACAGCCTGTCAGTACAAATGTGGCTGGTGGCCCATGAAGGGGGTGGCCTAGGTGACTTGAGGTTACATTGAAAACAAGAAGTCAGGGAGGAGCGAGCAGGTTCATCAGTGTGAAGCCAGGTGGGCTCAGGGAAGAGAAATCCTCTTCCATGTGAGGGTCCAAGATACTTGCAAACATTCTGGAAATGATAAAGTGTTGCCCGGGTTAGGCAGCATTAGACACATGTCATCACAGAGTCCCAGAGCCCACAACCTGTGACCTCTGGGCCTATGCGCCCTTTGTCATGGCTGAGCACCATGCTCTAGATCCAAAGAGGCTCCCTGGCCTCCTGCAGGCTGCCTTTTTCTCAGGGATCCACAGGCAGGACTGACCTCATAGGCGGGTCCCCGTGCAGGCACAGGAGCGCCGTGCTTGGTTTATGTCTCTGCTGATGCTGCCCTAAAATTCTTCATAATTTTTGAACAAGAGGCCCCACTTTCTCATTTTACATTGGGCTCCACAAATTATGTAGCCACTCTGCTCCAAGGGGTAGCTTTACTGGGAGGAGAGCCTTGTCTTTTATCTTTTCTGGCCCTCTGAAGGTTGAAGAGGCAGAGACTGGGGTCAGAGAGAGCAAGAGCTAATGTCTTGGCAGGGGATCTTGCGTCCCAGCCCCTTCGTTCTTCTTTCCTTCTCTGAATTAGATGTTGATGACCAATCTCAAACAATACTTATTGAGCATCAGCCATTTCRTGCCAGGCACTGGTAAATAAATACAGGTCTGAATAAAACCTGGACCCTTAAAAATAGGCACCCAGTCAGGAGGGGGAGTCAGATATGTACCAAAGAATTTCAATAAGGAAATTTGAAAACATTCAGGAGAGTCATTCTATTCAGGAAACTCTCGACTTCTGAAAATCACAAATTATAAAGACATTTAAACACAAATGCCTCCTCATTTTTTCTTGGTCACATTCTACCCAGCGGGCCACAGCAGTTGTCACAACAACACAATGTTCCACAGGCCTGTCAGAGTGGGGTCTAAAAGCCTCCCACGCACTGTCATGGGGCCACTCACAAATGCCCCTAGCATCTGGCCCAGGAGCCTCTTGATGGAAATGATGGAGTTCACATGTCTGGTTTTTCTCTAAATCAGGGGTCAACAAACTTTTTTTCTATCATGGGTCAAATAGCAAATATTTTAAACTTTGCAGGCCAGACGGATTCTGTCGCAACCCCTCATCCCCTGTCATGGCTCAAACGCAGCCACAGACAGTAAGTCAACAAATGGTCGCGGCTGTGTTCCAATAAAGCTCCATTTATAAAAACAGGCYGCAGACTGGATTTGGCCTGCGAGCTGTAGTTTGCTGACCCCTGCTCCAGTTGATTCTAATTTGGAGGTTGGCTGGCCTAGGAAAGAGCATTTATTTGAAATAATGCAAGGGAKATGGACTGTGATACTTAGATGAAACCAACTTTTTCATCTGGGTGAGTTGGGCAAATATCCGAGTCCCAGCAGGGTCCTGGAGACCTGTGAACTGGCTAATTGGGGAGAGTTTCACAAAGAGACTACTTACAAAGGGGTGGGCAGGGTTAAGGAAACCAAGAAAGAATAATGCTAGACCTGTGGCTGGTAACCCAGAGAGCCTTTACCTGCCCTAGCGAGAACAATACGGAAAGAGCCTTTCACCAAGGAACACAGACCAGAGGGAGGCTGTGGTTGGCTCATGCAGTCATCCTCCCAAGGTCAGAGAAGGAGGAGCAGGGTGGAGAYTGGACCTGGTTGGGCAAATAGGAGATCTCCTGGGCAGCTTTCCTTGGAAAGAGGAGGTAAATTTGACCAAGGAGTCATTCATTCATTCAGCAGGAATTTGTGCCTTCTGCCAGGCTCTGTGTTATGATTTAATRGAGAACATGGCTGTGTCAGCCAATAAACGCAATGAAGTGATCAGGGGCTCTGACAGAGATCTCTATAAGGTACAATAGGGGGCACAAAGAGATTGAGCACCTGAGGATCACTCTATCATAAATGCCAAAAAATTTACAAATATAGACCATGGGAAGTAGTCTTCACTCCTTCGAAGCTCAAAAGTACATCAAAGTTCTTTCTAGCAGAATTGAAGGGATGCCTGAAGTACAATAGCAGCATTTAACAAGGCTAACACAMAAAAGTAAATTCACAGATCAATAACTCTGAATCCATCTGACGAATCAATATGGTGAAACAATAGAATTACCTTAAGGATCCACAAATACTATCTTTTTTGCTATCTGATATTTCTTGGCTCCAGCTGAGTGTTGACCACAAAGAAGCCAAACACAGCAGCTGGACCAGTGAATACTATGAGTTGAGGAGTCTCAGATGGGGATCTAATAGAAACATACAACAAATGGATGCTCTCGCTTGATGCTTTGGTTGAGCTGTTTAAAAAACATTTCACATAAAGCACTCTTCTTATTGGAATCTGCCTGACAGCAATTCATGATTATTTCCCCATGGAAACCACTAGCTTTTACCATCTCTTTCAATTATCATTTGTCTTAATTTTTTAGTGTATACATCAACATTTGCCCTTTCCAAATTCCCACAAACAGAATTCTTTGTGCATCTTCAAACACCAATGGCAGATTTGACACAAAAGGGCAAAACCCATCTTTTTCTTTAAAAATTTTTTATTATGATGATTTTAACTCAAACAGTTTCTAAATACAGGGTCTACTAAATGTCTATCATCCATGTGTTTCAAGTATCAGGTGGCCATAACAATGCTACGCCATCTCTCCCAGGAGGTAGAAATATGGATTCTCAGTCCTGTATGTCCATCAAACTTCCCGTTTACGCAAGTACAACAGCATCTTAGCAGAAGGTGGCTGGAGGACCATTATTTTGGATTTGTCTGTCTTTCTGTCCCCAGAAGGCCTGCACTGAAATGTCAAATGGAGTATTACAGTGAGTTGCCATAGAGAAGGGACCTACTTGCTCCCTAGCCCTCTACTCTTTTTCAATCCAGTCCTGCTCCCAAAACATCAGACATTAACACAAAAAAGCCTTCCCTTATCACAGACAAATTCCTCAGAGAAGGCAGAGTCCTGTATTTCCAAGGAAAGGAAGCAGCCCCCTTTTTGCTTTGCAAGATCTTATCTGGCCCTTTCTCTAAGGATTGTRCACTGCAAAGCTAGCTGACTTTTTCTAGCGAGGTAAAAGTCTTCTTCGTAACATAGGGAAAAAATTATAAACTAAAAAATTGARATTAAGGAAGTAGAAGTTTCTATATCCAACCAACTCACGTCATGGTGGCTATCTTGCAGATATCTGAGATTCTACTTCCTAAAGGATAAAAAGGTGACCACTGAGTCATTCAGTGAATAGAGATAATGGATCTGACTCAAAGAGACTGCAATGAGCACAGCCAGGAGATTTCTGTGTATTTTTATCATTTGTGATCTCAGCATTAAATTGATTCTCAAAAAAAAAAAAAAAACCCAAAACAACAACAACAACAAAAAACTGAGTCTCTCAAGTCATGAAGCTGAATTCCAAGATTTTGCTCCTAATAGATCATAAAAAAAGAAAGCAATTTAAAAAAAAATACTTCTTTGCCTACCATCCTACACATATTAATTCAAAACCATAGCCCCAAGCAAAACTTGTTGCATTAAAAAAAATGTTAAAGGAAAAAAGCAGGCCTAATCATGACCTAGAAAAGAGAGCCATCTCTGCCTTGTGTAAAAGCTTTCTTTGTCTCAAAATTTGGAAGAACAGCATTCTTCTTCACAGTCAGTTCCCTTACACCCATGAATGATCTCATGCAGCCCGTGAAGAAATTGTCAAACTAAGAATACTGCCATCACCAGCTTTACAAGCAATTTTTATGAAAGTTTTTTTTTTTTACACTTTTTGGGGGAGGGCATATAAAAATTAACGATAGAATA